CAGTAGCAGCAGTAGCAGCAGTAGCAGCAGTAGTAGTAGCAGTAGCAGTAGCAGCAGTAGCAGCAGTAGCAGCAGTAGCAGCAGCAGCAGCAGCAGCAGCAGCAGCAGCAGTAGCAGCAGTAGCAGCAGTAGCAGCAGTAGCAGCAGTAGAAGCAGTAGCAGCAGCATTCTACTGCTGCAGATAGATAGATAGATAAATAACAAAAAATATATTATTAGCTAATAAGAAAACAACATGCATGGAGAGGTGTCGTGCGGTGGCGCTCGCATCGCCCGCATGCATGCTAGCAGATGATAATCAGCGTCCTCCTACCAGCGGCGCCGCGTCACAATCATTAACTGCTTCTAACAATGCCGTAGTACGCGGGCGCGTCAACACCGTGCCGGAAATCACAGTCATTTCGCCAGCTCGATACCGGAGCGTTGGCTGCTGCTGCTGCTGCTTCTACTGCTGCTGCTGCTGCTGCTGCTGCTGCTGCTGCTGCTGCATCTATCTATCTATCTATCTATCTATCTATCTATCTATCTATCTATCTATCTATCTATCTATCTATCTATCTATCTATCTATCGATCGATCTATCTATCTATCTATCTATCTATCTATCTATCTATCTATCTATCTATCTATCTATCTATCTATCTATATATATATATCTATATATATATATATATGTATATAACTAGTATATAATATATATTATCTATATAGTATATGCTTTTTTCTCTCCTATCGTTTTATTTCTGTCCACTCCTACCCACATACTTTGCTGTCTCCGCCCTCTAACTTTTTATCTATTTTTGCTCCTTGGCTGATCGGTCTTTTACTGGGTTCTCACCGTTCTCTCTTCTCCACCACCGTCTCATCCTCTTTATTTCACCTCCTACCATGTGCTGCTCTATATCCGTTCGTGAGTATTAATAAAAAAAACTGCTCTTATTTCTCGCTCTGCAATCACTACTCTCACATGTGCGCTGCTCAATTGCCACTTAACCAATTTGCGATTTTCACTTTCGTGCGTTGCCTCCAGTAAGTGACATGACGTTAGGTCAATCCGCAGACGATTGCTGTGGGTCAAAGGAGCCATGGATTCAAGTGATTTTATATACAAGCTTATACGACCGACTGGCGCGCGTTGTCCATGCGAGACAAGTTAACTCCTGATTACGCATCAAAACTACATTAATCTAGACTCTTGCCGAAGTACGTCTTTAGGCGACCAATTCCAGCTTCTTCGCAACGAAATAACCGAGCACGGAAAATAATTCCGGCCTTTCTCTAATAACGTATCATTGCGTATCAATTGGCACAATGGCTACGACGCTCAAAGATAATTGATTCATTAGATGTTAACGTCAGCACTGGAATAGCAATAACGATGAAAATGAAACGCGCTGGCCATTGGGTCAACACTGCAGGATCTTCGATCTGGGGAAAATGTATTCGCGTATATGGCGCATGAAAGCGTGTATGAATTGATCTTGTCGCATTGATTTCTATTACTAATGAAGTACGATCGCGGCGACCCGAATTAGTCGTAATTCTATTACTCCTCAGTTTGACCTGCGGTGCGAGTGGCCAAAAAACGACAAACGGAATAGCGTAGCGCTAAACGACGAGTAGTGAAGACGTCCAGGTTTAGTACGTGCGATTTCCTTCGCTAATCTAATTTCGACTACGTGACGGCACGCACTCTCGTCCGGGAATTTCTAAGCGCAAATGACACATCAAGACAGCCAGCACGATGAAATGAAAATTGACACAAAAGATCAAACAAACACACAGTGAGACAGCTAGCGCATCTACTTATTACTTTAATCCAGGGCATTCCAATCGTTGTTTCGCGACAATGCACTATCGCCGCGGTGTATTTATTCGATGTATGCATGAAAAACACTGCTATAGTTGCGACAGTTTGCGATAGCGGACTGTTGGCGATATTGAAACGGGAGGCTTGCACACATATAATTCAGTTTGGCAATGAGTTTTCCTCTGCTCTTATTTTATCTTTTACAATGGCTATCTTTGCAAACCGTGTGGTGCGCGTCGTCTGGAATGAAGGCAGAAGCATTCACGGGTGAAATCGCAGCCGACGTGCGATTTTTTTTCGAAAAAAGTATCCGTTTATTATCAACCAAATTAAGTATCACAACGATTTAGTATTTACCATTATAAGCATTTATCATTTAGTATCAAAGTACCAACCAAGTTAACACCAAGTTTACTAATGGTAAATGAAGCAAGCACATATTGAAAATATGTCGTAAACAGAGATTGACGTTGCGGCAACAGACTGAGTTTGAGTTTCGCAATGTTTGTTATTAGATCAAATGTCGGATGAGCCGAGGGTATGAGAATCGTATAATACCGCTGCAATATTCGGTGTTGGTATAGC